ACCGATGCCATCATTCAGCTGGTGTCTTGGCTTTCCATGCCTTTTTACACCTCCCTTTCTTCATGTGTTCAACACTTTTTCCTTGTGCCATTCCACATTATTACAAATAACTTCATTTCTGGACATTTATGGTTTGATTTCTTTGTATGTATGGATCACTTGGGTTGTTACTGACATCTGGTGAAAATGTCATGTCATTAGCACCTCTAGTAATATATTTACTGWGAAAAATGTTGACGTGTTCAATACTTATTTTACCCGCTGTACTTCGGGTGTAACATAATATAGCATGGGGCACACATTTGTTTCAATTTTGTCATTTCTCAACACAATCTGATTTTAGCCATAAATTCAGGCTTGTAAGTTGCCAGGTTATATTTGTTCCAGAAATTCAAGGCGTTAGTCTTGTAAAATGTAAAGTTGTGCCTATAAATTTTTACAAGKTAGCATAAAGTTTTGTGTGTAAATAACAGAACAGGTCACTAATTTGAGTTGAGTTACAGGTCTGTCAGAGTGTGGATGAATAATTTATACAAACAACATGGTCTYGATCTTCTCCCCTCTGTGTGTTCACTTGTCTCTCTCTCACTCTGCTCTAAAAACAATAATATATAAATAAAGGGAAATCCCTATGGAGGGTCGTGCTGTTAGTTGGACAGGTAACCAACACGGGGCAGAAGTTAAGCATTTTATCCATAATGTTTACACAGAAACCACTGAATGATTGTGTTTCTAGATTTTGTCGAGTCAAATCAGCAGCCCTGTTCTGCACCAAACGCCCAGATTTGTGTTGTTTATTTAGACACAGTTCAAATAGACTAAAGTATTTTCTCATTCATCTCATCTCTTTGCATCATAAACAGCTAAAAGTTTTCTAACTGCACATAACTGGAGTCCTCTGTTCTTCAAACACAGGAAACTCTCAGAAAATAAGAGTTGCTTTCCTCGTTTCCTCATGACATCACTGAGTTATCACCATGGGAAACGGGACAGGAAGTGGGATTGGAGGTTTGAGGAGAGAAGGTCATGTGTATCAGAAAAAGGGGGTGGCTCTTTTCCCATCCACCCACCTTATGAAGGCTAATAACTGGTTTAACAATCTGAAACTCCATTTGACATGTTTTTTTTTCTACTTTGGATTTACCTCCACAGTGTTTGGATCTTTTTAAAGAAACAGGATTTTCAGCATCTGCTTCTATCAAGTCATTTGTTGTCTTTGTTTTGTGATGACACTCTCGGTTCAGAAGAAACTGACAGACAGTAAGTTCAGTATTTCCYCCAGAGGACCAACCCATTGATGTGGTGCAGTGTTGTGTTCGGTTCATTTTCTTGGCAGAATATTTATTGGCAGACCTTGCTGTCATCCAAATAATTTGTCTTCATTAAGGCTGGCCGTGTTATTCAAGGCAGTTTTTTTTATATCTATGTTATCAAGAAGCCAACCATGAAGGGTGCCACACATTCAGCATATGTGTTGCCAGGGATGTTAGAGTTATTTTGGCTCAGAATATAAAGTAAAGTGCACGTCTCCTGGGCTCATGATGGGTGTTAATTCCAGTCATTCATTTTCCAGCACTCCTTATTGATTGCTTATTGTTTTTTGTAGATAATGCAGTGCTAGAAGTGGTTTTAAGTGCATTCTGCCCACCTTGTGTAGCTTCATAACACAGCTGTTTGTCACACTGGGGATTTCACCTTTAGTATTTTTTCCTGTTCTTGTCAGAGTAACTATCCCTGGTCATTGCTGATCCAAGAGGAAACTTGTGCAGCTTCCTCTTTGTGCTGGTTTCATTGTGTTGCATCATACCTGTAATATTCTTATTAGCCGAGCTTGAGGCTGATATGGGATGCTGTAAAATGAGTGAAACTGGTACATTTCCACACAGGCCTCCATAGCTTGTGTAATAGCTTTGAAATCTTTTCCTGACTTAATCTTACTCTTTTATGTCTCCTGTTTATTAAACCAAAATAACTTTTTTTGGTACTATTTTTAAGATTATATTCTTATATCAAGATGCTTTATGTGCATCCAGTCCAATTTTGATGCTGTTTTTGTTTCTGTTTTGAATTGTTAAAGTATTGGAKTTTTAACATGCATGTGTTGTTTCCATGTGTCTGTAGACAGAGAATGGTAGTGCCCTCCATGAAGCTGCCCTTTTTGGAAAGATGGATGTAGTTCGCCTTCTGCTTGACTCAGGTTGGTCTAAAAATACCCTTTTTAATAAAAAGCAGTCCTTTGTATGTGAGTCTCTTGTTTCCATTTTTAATTCAGTAGTCGCTCCACTGCTAAACATTTTAACTGTATGTTTTCAGATATAATAGCAGGATGTGATTTCTTGTTTTGAAAATGTCACTCAGCTTGATTGATGGGTCAGTGACACAAAGAGACCCCTGAGTGTGCAGCATTTAAAGTTTGAACTTTTGCTTTAAACAAGTCAATCAGTCTCTTCAGGAATGAAAACAAAACAAAAAAAATCACAATTTATTTTATGCACATAAAAAAACTAAAAGGAAGGAGGAAGCTGGCATCGACTACACACTTTCTCACAGCACTTCCTGTTTCCTGCAGGACTTCCTCTGGGCGTTTGCCCTTTTTTGGCCTGAATTATGTTAACATCCTGAATCCATGTAGTACTGTACTGGTTTGGTCTTTTTGAGTTTGCTAATCTTAAACTGCGCATACTGTAATTGTGGAAAAGKGGGAATAGTTGTGGAGAGAGCAGCAGAGTTGTGGATGCTATAAATTTTTTGAAAATGAAGAGAGAAAAGGTGACTGAACTATTCTGAGTGACGATTTGTGACACGTCTGTTCAGAATTCAAGTGACAAAACTGTGAGCATCAGCAAAACTTCCTYGCATAGTTTTCAGGAAAGAAAAGTTCACTGCAAGTTTTCATTCAAATTAGACTACACATGTAAGTATTTAGATGTTTCTGTGTTCTGTGCTCACTTTTAATTTCTTCAGTTGTATAAAAATGAATGTTTTGTATGTTAATGTGCATTTAAGGAATTGACACCAGTCTCAGAGACAGTAAAGGAAGAACAGCACTGGAGATTCTGAAAGAACACCCTGCACCTAAATCTCAGCAGATCACTGCTCTTATCCAAGGTGAGACAATAACACTGCTAATTTAAATTTAGATTACTGAGAAAATAGGTCATCACTGTGGCAGAAAACCCATGTTCAGTAAATGCAATGCATTATAAGGTTATGAAAACAATAATTCTCCTAATGAACGTGTTAAGATGGGCATGAACTCTGATTGGTTTACTTTAATTGGGTGTTTTGGCTGAATTTGTGAGGACATATCGAGCTCCAGTTGAGTTTATTAGAGAGTATAACCTTGTGACCCTTAGACGTGGATGTGTAAAAAACTGAGAAGTCTTGTTTTCAAGGAAGTTTATTGTCCTCAGAGAAACAATAAAAGCTGCTGTATGTGATGAATAGCTGGAGGGGGTGTGAGTGCACCGTTAATGTTAGCTATGATATTCTCACAATACAGTCTGTGTTGCAGATCTCTCCAGGTTTTTCAATGGCTTTGAGATGGTTATCAATGAGTTAGTGGAAAAAATGAGTAGCGTTTTGTTTTGAGTCTAAATTTCTCAGTAAGATTTTGTGGATTCCACTTATAGAAAAGCAAAGAATGATTAGAATAAAATGCATTTTGATCATTTCAGTGGAATGATTCCTGTTCATTTTTGTTTTCTAGTTCAGTCTGAGCAAAACAAACACTGGATTTAATTTTAAGGCTTTTTATGACCTCACAGTGTTGTAAACATGACCCAGTTATGATTGCTAATTATTTTTATCCCAACAACAAATGTTAGATCACTGTACCACCCCAACTCCAATGAAATTTGGGACGCTGTGAAAAACAAACAGAATACAATAATTTTCAAATCCTTTTCAACCTATATTCAATTGTATACACTGCAAAGACAAGCTGTTTAAATAAATTTTATTGTTTTTTTTTTTCTTTGCAAATATTCACTCATTTTAATTTAATGGAGCCCACGAGGGGACATGGAGGGTTTTTTTTTTCTTTTGCATTCCCACTCCAGTGTTTTTCAATTCTGGTCTTCACCTCAAGGCACACTGTCCAGCATGTTTTAGATGTTTCCCTGCTTCAACACAGCTGATTTCAATTGATTACTGATTAGCAGGCTTTTGGTGAATTGCAGTCATTTCAATCAGGTGTGTAAAAGCAGGGAAACCTCTAAAACATGCAGGTCAGTGTGCCTTGAGGACCAGGGTTGGGAAACAATGTCCCACGCAATAGTATTGTGTTACCTCACTATAATTTTTGTGTTCCCTCGCAAAAGTTGTTCATCACTGCTGTGCCTGACGGTTTATTAACAAATTCACATGCTCACCGTTAGCAAGTTAGCCTGCTACTTTAATTCAGCTTCGCAATGAATTTATCACAAAACCATGCATGGAAGTATGTAATATGCAGATATTTTAACTCTGATCAGCCATGCAACATCAGTGTCAATATCCTGAACTTGTGGCAACTGCATCCTTTCTCAGTAACCGGATATTTCAAAATAAAAGTCTGATCTAATTCAGTTCATAAAAAAACAAACTTTTGCATGGGAACGCAAAATAATATTGCAAAGGGAAAGCAAATGTTTGCGAGGTAATGAAAAAGTTTTGTGAGGTAACATAAAGGTATTGTGAGGTAACTCAGAAGTATTGTATAGGGACGCAAAAGAAAAAAAAGTCTTCATGTCCCCTCACGGGCTCCATACAAATTGATATAGGCTGCAACATGTTCCAAAAAAAGATGGGACAGGGGCAACAAATGACTGAGGAAGTTGAGGAATGCTCAAAAAACACCTATTTGTAACAAACTACAGGTGAGCTAGTTAATTGGAAACAGGTGAGTGTGATTATTGGGTATAAAGGGAGCATTCCTGAAAGGCTCAGTCGTCACAAGCAAGGACAGGGCGAGGGTCACCACTGTGTGCATGAGCAAATAGTCGAACAGTTTAAGAACAAAGTATTTCAATAGAATTTAGGGATTTATATCAATAGATTTAGAGCTTTCTGTGCACAGTGGTAAACATGTCCCTTTATTTTGTTTTAATTTATGTTTTTACATAACGTTGCAACTTCATTGGAATTGGTGTTGTAAAACTAATATCACACATGGGTGTATTACTCTAACCTCATAATTATACCAAATTTAAATGCTTAGGTCCAAGTTATAGATTCGTCCCCTCAATCCAGTTTAAAATATGTTTGGTTTTCACAGTTTTACACTTTTCCACCTTTCATTAAAATGCCTGTTTTGCTCTTACTGCACCACATTGTGTTATGTGTTTGACCAGTGATTGTTAGCGTGGATTTTGAGTGCATGAGAACCCAAAAAAGGCAACTTCTAAAGAAAGTGCCAATTTAAATGCTGTAATCTGTGGCTAAGATGCCCACTTTATCTGTCATTGTGCAATCTGTGGGTGTACGTCGGACATGTAGTTACTGTTAATTTAAACAGAGGAGAGATAAAGACATTGGGAAACGGGTTGAAGAATGAGAGTACGTGAGAGCCAAAATTAACTGCAGATCAGTTTTAATTAGGAGGCAAAAACACAAATGGGAACATAAACCCAGAAATATGAAACAAAGTGATCATAGTTAAAAAGACATAAAGCTGACAGTAAATCAGAGAAAAAATAAAGCTCAGAAGTTGTTTAGGGACATGCCTCGTATAAAAAAAACAAAGGGAGACATGAGTCAGTTAAGTTGTTTGAACACATCTGCACCTAATTCTTAATTTCCTTTGAACTCTACATTCATAAGAGTGTGTCAACAGAGACGTATCTTGTCTCCAGAATTTTAAATGTTAAAAATCAAATCTGTCCTCAACTGTGGGCATCGAAGTCGAACCTAAAAAAGCCAGAGATTGAAAAGATATTTGGGCTTCAGCATGAATAAGAAACTGAACGTGGCTGTATTAGAGTGAGATGGGGTGAAAAAAAAAAGAGAGAGAAAGGGCACAGCTGTGACTTTGTGAAAAGATCAGCTGCATGCCATTTCCTGTTGGAGAGGAGATGGAAAAGGACACAAAAAGCAAAACGACCTGTCATTTGCTGAATTGTACCAGCTGAGGGCCTCTCTGGTGGCCGCTGGCGCCTTGTTGTGAATAGATTCTCATTTGATTTTACAGACCACAATTAATCCTTCTGTTTGTATCATTAGTTCACTATTTTGCTGCTTGGCAGCAACTGGTTGTGTTACAATGCAGTAGTGGTTAAGTCTTGGCTCGTAAACAGTGTGCTCTGTTTTCTGTTTCTGTACAATCTACTGCTAAATCAACCAATCTCAAGGTTTCATTRTTTGCTTTTAGAATCTAAAACATTACAGAAAATGTTGTGAATCATAACTACTGGGAGGGTTCATAAATTAGTASAAATATGCAGTTTCCTGTCATTAGCAGGTTTTCTCATTAGCTCTCTTCAGGCAATCTGCCACCATATTTTGTCCATGTAAGCACTTTTTGTTTGCTAATTTCTCACTTAAGCAAGTTTATTGTTCAGTTTTTAACTTGTTTCTGCCCCCACACCTGGACCTGCTCTGTCTCCACCTCTCTCCCTACAGTTTTCCCTGAAAATTCTTTCTTTTATTGTTATTAGCAGCAGAATGGTCTATTAGCAGAAGCTGTGAAGTGATTTTGTGGTGCAGCAAAAAGTGTGAATTGAAAGCTACTCATGCTGTTTGCCATTCTAGTGATTGTGCTATTATATTGATCCAATAATGAGCTTTTGAAATGCTGTCTCTCTCCAAGCCCGCCTCCTTTATCATATTGTCCTTGAAACTCTTCTTTTTTTTTCATTTCTTTGCTTTTCTGGTTTTGAATAATATGCAATTACAATACTCAGRCTGCCCTGTCTCTGTGTCTCTGTAGAGTACATAGATGAGATGGAGAAGCAGAGTATTATGGAAGAACCTGTCCGCAAGTGTCCTATACCTGCACCTCGAACCTCTATCCCCTCACCTTCTGCCTCCCCCTCCCTCAGACACAAGAGTAAGTACCAACACAGATGTTCAAACTGAGTTACAATCAGAAGCTGTTTACTGCTTAGGATGTTGCATTCTGGGTGATTAGATTAGAAATAAATAGCTTTAAGTTTGTTTAAAGCAGGAAACAGCTGATATTAAAGACCACATTTGAAATTAATTAGAGACGTCTACTACCTGATGTACATCTACATAATTTCTGCTTTTCTGATGTCCAGAAACTAAATATTCTGAATAAAGAACAGGATGTAGTATTTACACAAAATTTAAAAGGAACATATTGCACAGAATTAACAAGATAAAAGCTGCCAGTCATGAAAAACATTTTCTTCTGTGGACAGAAGTTTTGAGTCTGTACAGCTGTACATTTATCCTGTCCAGCACTGCCCCCTGTGTAATAAATGTGAGATTGCAAAATGGTGAGTTCTGTGCTCTCTTCTTTATTTCTTCAGTTGCTGTAGAACTGGCTGCTCTTCAGTGTCTGAGCAATATAAAGTGGAGACAGTGAAGGATGTTTGCTTTTAGTTCTGTGGCTACCTTTTGGTAAACATTCAATAAAACTGTAAAGACCATTTAAATTTTTTATCCTTTCATGCCTGTTATGATGAGAGCTGACTTTATTGCTATTATATAAGAGACCATTAAGGTTCATTTTTAACTTTATCCCTTTTAGCAATTTTTTTAAAAATAAGGGATATTCAATTTTATTAATTTTCAAAGTGAAGAAGTTTCCCTGTAGGATGAATAAAGTTATTCTGATTTACGTTATCTCACACTTCAGATGATGCTGTCACAAGTGAGCTGTCCAAACTGCTCCACGACATCAAGAAGTGCCGGGACAGAGACTACTCCTTCGAGGAGCTCTGCCACACCATCTCCTCCCACTCCATGGACAGCTTTGGGAGTGGGCGTCTGTCTGACGAGGAGCGCCCTGATCGACCCAACGGCACCCTGACTCGAAGCACCAAGGTACTCCAACTGCAGAGACATAATGACTTTCTGAATGTTAACTAAATCATGGATTTTTCTCCTTMTAGATCTGCTTTTGAGGCAATATATTTATATATATTGTTATATAGAACATGTATAAGGTATCAGTAACATGAGGAAGAATGGTAAACAATTGTGATACAAAATTTTTTTTAATTTATGTTCTTACAAGTGCCACAATTTAAACTCGAATTAATGGCCATTTAAAGCATATTGATGTGCTTTATATATTAAAACTGTTTTTGCTCATTTGGACTTTTATTACAGTTGCAGAAATTTAACATGGATTTTTTTTCTGAGAGATTTTGCTGAGTATTTTACGAGTGTCAAAAATGCTTATACATACAGCGGGGAAAATAAGTATTGAACACGTCACCATTTTTCTCAGTAAATATATTACTAGAGGTGCTAATG